TTCTTGTTGGTGCATAAGGCCTTCATCACCCTGAAAACCAAGATCGCTACGACCCCAATTCTCCGCCACATCGTCGAGGCGAGAACGCCGGCGGTTATTGTATATGCCAGTGATTGGGCGATATCGGCTTCATTGACGCAAGAACACGACGAGATCTACCACCCGGTTGCGTTCTCCAGCCGCACCCTGAAGACGAACGAGTTAAATTACAATGTGACCGAAAAGGAGGTGTTGGCATTGCTGAGGATTCTGGATCTCTACTACAAAATACTAGTAGGACGCGAGATCCGGGTCTTAACGAGGTATTCCACGTTAGCCTGGCTGTTCAAGTCGACAGGTTTACAGGGTCGCCTAGGGCAATGGTCATCCCTCCTGGCCCCGTGGCCTCTCGAGATCACGAAGTGCACGAAAGGCGAGGACGAAATACTGGGGGCGATCGCCGCCTGCATCACGCCGAGGGCGAAGATGGACGACGCTCAAGCGATATCGCCCCTCGGAAGGAACCTAAACGCCGGATCCAAACGCCGATACCCACCGTGGATCGAGAAAAGGAATTATGGGTGGTCAGCATTGATAGATCGGCCCGAGTGAAGCGTCGTTCAGCGTGATCGTGTGGAGTCTGCCCGGGTGGGAGGTGGTCAAAGCTAGATCGGGCTATCTCGAGAGCCTCACCGTGAACGAAGCAGAATACAACGACCTACTCCTGGGACTCGACATGCTAGAGGACCTAGATCGCAAGCGACTAGTGATCTGCGGTGATACCAACTTAGTGATCCGACAAGTACGGGGCGAGATCGATTGCAAGACACCCGGGCTGACGCTATTGAAGTGGAAGGCCCTCGACCGCCTGACGAAATGGAGCGATCATGAATTGGTGCATGTGAAGAGAGACTGGAATGGGAGCACCGACATGCCGCTTTGCAACGACAAGGTGGGATCGAGGTCCAAGGAGGGCCCGAACACGAAGACCTGGTCACCCTGAGCCGGTTGGACAATCTTTATTCCCAGGACCGAAAACCCAGTGGTGCGAGTTGAAGCGGTCACCACCCGAGCTTCTCGAGTAAGCTCACCCGAGGGATCATGCAAGAGGACCTGGTCCGGGAGATGCGGGTCGATCGGATCAGGCAGGCTCAGGAGGAGGAAGGCTGGATCACAGGTATGAATAAGTATCTGGGTGGCTCGATCGCTGACTTCACGCAAGCGGAAGCAAGATCGTACGGCAAGATCGCGGCCGACTATGATGTGGACGAACATGATCTACTCGTTTCCTGCCCACCCACGCCGAGATCGGGGGACGATCGCGATCGGTTGCTGAGACTAGTGGTGCCCGAAATGTTGTAATCGGATGTCTTACATCACTATCACACTACGCTGGAAGGAGGACATCAGGGAGTGGGGCGTACCTACCAGCGGATCAGGGATCAGTTCCACTGGAGAGGATTATATCGCGTTCAGCGATATGTGGGCAAATGCGTGGACTGTAAAACGGGAAAAGGAAAACCGGTGATCCGGGGTGAATCACCGGGGAACTTGCAGGCGGCATACCCGTTCCAGATCATTGCGATGGATCATATACCGTCGCTGCCCAGATCCCACAATGGGAATACCGATTTATGGATCTGGGTCGATCTGTTCACGGGATACGTGATCGCGAAAACTAGCTCATCCCGGTCGGCCCAGACGGTCTCGGAATCGTACGAAGAGTGTGTATTTCGGCGATTCGGTGCCAGCAAGAGAATCCGGCACGCTCGAGAACCCGGCTTCATGTCCGACTTCTTCCGGGCGTTTAACAAGATCCTGGAATAACGGCAGCGAGCGATGATGTCATATCGGCCGCAAGCCAACGGGACTACAGAAAGAATGGTGCAGACTGCGACCAGGGCGCTCAAGATGTACGTTCGCGATCTGGATAAGAAGGATTAGGATGAGTATGTGGAGCGACTTACCTTTGCGATCAACACCCACGATCGGACCCGAGGGGATATCCCTCATTATCTGTTGCATGGGTACACTGCCAGTCGGATGTACCAGACGGTGCGATCGAGACGCACGGCGGTGGCGTTATCGAGTCCAAC